CATAGTACGCATGATCATTTCCAGAGTTGGACCGCGGACTTGGTACATTCCCAGGCGTTTTGCCGGCATCATTAGTGAGCCTTGCCATTCTTAGCACCATACCACAACCCATCAGAGACAAGTGGAATCGATCCTTTGACCAATTGTCTGCTAAACAGTTGTGTAATCCCTCCTTCTGTCCAGGGCTATTCACCTCTCCTATTTCCTCGTATCACCCCTTCAATATCACAATTTCTTACCTGTTTATCTAAACCTATTTTAAATCTGTTCACAATCCATTCTGGTTTCCACATCCGTCCCACTGTGCCGGGAATGTTAATCTAAGGCTGCGGTTTAATCCGAAATTCTCTCCTCTTAAGTCCTATCAATCCCCCTCTTGCTCAGTTAGATCCTTCTCTTATTTTCTTGTTTCTGTGATTTCACCCCATCGCTGACACCGTATCCGTGCTACTCAAGGCTTTATGTTCTACACTCTGCCTCAAGCCTTTGCTAGCACGTATACCCCAACCTCACCAAGCAAGCCCGTAAAGTCTGGATTCTCAATTGGCATAGCAACCTAACTTGGCGCTGCAGATTCCTTTATCTCTTGTCTGCATGTGCACTGAGTAAATCTCGTGGTCAAGCCTTTACTTCATGGACCGCGTCTATGAGCAAACTTATCTAGTAATAGCCAATTAGAAATGGCCACCACCATTTCTCTCCTTCTTCTATCCCTAATGTCAAGTCTATGACTTTATTTTTCGTGCCAGCCCCCAAATATGCTAGTTCTACTTGAATTGACAAACATCTCAAGCGAGAAGACAGTCCCCGCCCTGTTCGAGGTCTTGGAACGAGAGGAGCATATCCTGGAAATTGAGCGGATACGGAAGGAGTGTTTACACGATTAATCAACCTGACAATAAGTACCACATTTTTTACATTCAACGTCAATATCTGTGACGAAATAATTGGACTACCGATGGGATCTTCACTCTCACCTCTTTTGGCAAATCTGTACATGGACAAATTGGCAAGGGAATTCGAGAAGTCGCCACTGTAACCAAGAGTTCTTATGCGATACCTGGACGACTACTTTGCATTTTGGTCGAATGGTAAGAAAAATTTGGATGAGTACCTCAATATTATAAATCAATTTGATGGAAGAATTACGTTCACAATGGAGGTGGAGGAGGATAAACCATTTCTGGATGTTGAGGTAATTCGCTTCAAAGGAATACCCGAGAGGAGACTATTCAGAAAAAAATCACATGTAGAATAATCGTCAACTTCTAGTGTCATCAGAACTACAGACTGATGATCGGAATAATGAGGAGTATGATCCTCAGAAGCTTAAGACTAAGACACTGAATTTTTGAACGAGGAGTTGGAGAAACTGACTCGGATTCCTCTTAGTAAGGGATATCCTAGAAAATTAGTTGAAAGAAATATAGGGGTCATAAGAAACAGATTTCAACAAGGATTTAGTTAAAAATAAGATCAGGAATAGGGAGGACAACCAAATTGGAAATGTATACAATCCCATGAACTGAGCCAAAAAGTGCTACCGTTGCTAACAAAATGGAATATCAAGGTGATAACAAAAGAAAAGACAAAACTCTTCACCAACCGGTTTACAAACCATATTGCTCAGGAGCTTATTGCATCAAATGCAGCAACTGGGAGCAGAAGTATATTGGTGAAACAAGAAGAAAAATTAGTCCCGGCACAGTGGGAAGGACGTGGAAACCAGCGGGGAGTGTGAATTGATTTGAAATAGGTTTAGATAAACAGGTAAAAATTGTGATATTGAAAGAGTGATACTAGGATATAGGATGGGCGAATAGCCCAGGACATAAGGAGAGATACCACAACTGTTTAGCAGACAATTGGTCAAAGGATCGATTTCACATATCTCGGATGGGCTGTGGTGTGGTGCTAAGAATGGCAAGGCTCACTAACGATGCCGGCTACGATTCCGGCGAAACGCCTGGGGATGTACTAAGTCCGCGGTCCAACTCTGGAAATTATCATGCATACTATGGACTATGGACAGGTACGTTCCTCTATGTCTTCCTATTATTATGACCAAGTTGCGCAAACAAGGTTAAACAACTTCTGAAAAACCTAATTCAGCTCATATTGTTATTTCTTGAGATGATAAGCCTTTATAGTAGGCGCCAGATACCCAGGATTTCTTTACTGTTGCAAGCTCATTATATTCTCCAACTTCCGCCCTTATTACTTACTACTCTTAGTTCTACGTACTTCCAGCCTCAGCCAATCTTGCAACTATTCAGCCCACCTGTTGCTGATTGATGTGCCCGTAAAAGACGAGGTATGGACCACTTCAATTGAATGACCCTGCGTGCCGGCATCCAACCTTGCACAGATAAAGCCTGTCCTGAAGATTGAGTTTGTTGCTGCTGATGCAATTCCTCGAAGTAATTCCGCGACTCTTGATCCCCAAATCGCTCAGATACCGGATTGCTGTTGGAATCTTCTATTTTGTCCTCTCCATTGGGATGAA